ATACTAGTGTTTTATGATGTACAACTGTGTTCAGATGCTGTGTGACTATCAATACCAGATACTCCTGTGTATTGATAGAGTACAGGCTGTATTTCACAACCAAGGTTGCTTCCAACTAGGTTCGTAATATGTAGTACTACTTCCAACTTGTGTCTGCATTAGCTGGTATTTAATGTTGGTATGCTCTTGTACTCAGATATGCAATTGTACTACTAGCCTAGTACTTTCTTCCAATTCAGGTTTTTACGCATATTCTAGATAGTAGCTAACTCTCTATAGAACTAGGACCTTCTAATTCTAGCTTTCACATATACCAGAGGTGTTCCACATCTAGTTAGGACAATCCTTTTCCACAGATTTCTATTATATTCACTGCTTTACTCATTACTCCAGCACGTGTTACCTTCATGTCACTCTCCCAAGCAAGTTCCCAACCACTGGGGATGTTGGTGTTGCCTAACCCTTCGAGGACTTATTCGCGTAATACTCATGTAACAGAACCTTCTGTGACACTGACTGTCACACATAATGCCAACTTGCTCTATAATGTTAATTTCCTTTCAGGAATTCCTTTTCTAGAATCTTGTACTTCACATGGGTTTTACTACAGGGCTTCGCATTTGATTAATAGTTTTCATAAGAATTACAGTTGCAAATGTCTCTAACCAGACTCGAACTGTTGACCTTGTCTGTAGAAGGTTGAGGACTTAACCAACTAAGCCATGGGACCCAACTCCTAGTATAAATTTTAATAATTATACTAGTTAATACTTAATTTAGAAAAAAATGTCTGTATACAAAAGATGTAGATTGAGTAGGTGAGAATAAGTTTATTATACAAAAAAATAGCAATACCAATTTGGTTTTGCAACTAACTAGATTTAGAAGAATTTGTCTTATAAAATATTTAAAAACATAGAAACCTAATCTGTTAGAGAGCTATAGTAAGAACTGAGTTTATATAAATATCTATAAAGATATATACTAGTTTAAATAGAATATAGCATAGTATAGTTGAAGTATTCTATAACTTTCTTCTGAATAAAACTAATAGAATATCTTAAAATAAAACCTTTCTAATAAAAGAAACTAAAATACAAGCTGATCTGAGTAGTTCTCAATAAGATAGTATAAGATTATGCAAATTTAAGAATAAAATTAGGTTGATATTAGAGATAATAAAAATATTAAAAAGTTTAAATAAATGATTTATAAATAGATACTAGATATAGTATTTAGTAAGTAATCTTAAAGCAGAACCTTTAAATAGACAATAATTAAAAGTTATACATATAACCAAATATACTAACTAATATAAACTTACAAATAATTTAATAAAAATTAATTAGCATAAGGCTTTATTAGACAAATAAAAAAAAATTGTAGCTCATAATTAGTTAAATTTTGCTAATTATTATATATTTATAAAAATTTTATAATATTTCTAAAGTATTTTTATAGATATATATAATTATATAAAATTTTTTAGAATTTTAATTAAAAATAATATAATAACTAAACTAAATTTAATAAAAAATTTTATTTTAATTTTGCAAATATATAGAATTAAAAATAAAATAAAATAGTGTTTAACAATCTTGGTGTAGTAGTTAGATTGTCAGACTGCTAAACAAGAGGTCTGGAGTTCAAATTCCACTATCGATAAATTTGAATAATTACCTAGATCTTTGTACTCAACTTACAGTAAACCCTATCTGTTTCTGGAGTTGTAATCTTGTAAATTATGTTGTATCAATATCATCTGAATATTGGAAGTATGATGAGGCATTTAGCAAGATATAATATTATACAAATAAATCTTAATAGGATCTATAAGCAGGGGACCTGCATGATAGAAATCTTGAGTTGGTAAAGTAGTATAGCTTTTAATAGTCACACTGGCTAAGACTTGATCCAGAAAGAAAACTATTGTCAAAAGATATAGATCGAGTTGAGTATACATAAATCTGTTCTATAAAGAGAATTGATAACACTAATCTGGCTTGGCAACTAACTAAATTGGAAGAATCTGCTTCATGAAATATCTGAGAAGATAGAATACAGAAAACTAGTGAAGAACTATAGTAAGAACTGAGATTGTACGAACATTTACAAAGGTCTAAGCTAAGTAAATCTGTAAAATAGATATAGACTATTCTAGTAGATATATTTCGAGGTTAACTGGCTCTGCAATACCTACAATATATTAGATATAATATATCCTGAGAGGACCTAAGCCATTCTGAATAAATAGATCTATAACAAGCTAACTAGTTTAAATGGTTAGATATTGCAATGACGTTAAGTTAGATCTGTATGAGTTAATAAACAGAATATTTAAATAGGTAACTAACAGTTGGGTTACAAGTATGGCAGCATAGTATAGAACTAATTAGATAGTCTAATCGCCTATACAGTAAACTATTTAAAATAGATAATAATTAAAGTTGTACATATAGCTTATTATATACTCTTTATATAATTACAAACAGTATGGATTATCAATATATATATCTTATATGCAATTCTAATAAAATTTCTTCGGCAATGTAAGCCACCTTAATAACAAAAAAAAAAAAAAAAAAAACCTATATTTTACTAGATTTCTATAAACTTATCTATTACAAATATAAAAATTAATAAAATTATTTTTTTTTAAGCAAAGTTTTTAGTAATACTAATCTATACTAATCTTTTTTAAAAAAATATATATTAAAAATTAAAAAAATACAAAAAAAAATTTTTTTTTAAATTTTACTATGTGAGCCAATCAATTCGAATATCTACCATGCTAGCTTGAATTTAGAATCTGTTTTTAAATTTTTGACCGAAGTTTTCGGATCGTAATGCTAGCTAACTCTATATAATTTTCTGGTATAAATCACGTGGAGTTGTTGTGGGAAAGCAAGATGCGTAATTTAGAAATAAGAAAGACACGTTCACACGTTCACTACTCGAGTAAAATTGGGAGCTTTTCGATATATTGTCTTTCTCCTAACAGTAACAGTAACAATGGATAAATCTCAACTTCTTGATGTCTTGACTACTTTAAAGGTAAATATCATTTATTTGCAATGATCCCAAAAATATCAATAGTGTTTTAAACGCGTTCTTTTTTAAAAGATGTTCTTTGAGACGGACGAAACCCAGGCCAGAGGATTGTTAATGAATAATCCTCAATTATCGTACGGGTTATTTCAAACATTAATAGAACAAGATCTGATTGATCAGGACGTGTTACAGGTCATTATTAATCGTCGCTTTATTCATTCGTATACTATGTACACTTTAATATTAATTTATCTTATTAAGGGGGTGCTTTTTAATCATATGCAGCAAGTCGCGAAACCTAAGCCTAAAATAATCCCAATTACTCCTTTGGTACCAGCGTATAAAAATCCTTATGGTCCTATCATTGACCCGAACAACATTTTAACCACACAACAATACCATAATACAATTTATGGGGTGATGCAACATCAATCGCCTTCATTGACTTCACAAATTGTTCAACAATCGTCACAATCATTCATTCATATGCAACAGCCTATCTCTATCCAACAGTTTTATCCTAGTGTTATGATGCCAAACATAGGAAATCTTTGCATTTCTACGACTGTAGCACCTAATTATCACGAGATGCCTACTGGATTATGTCCTATTAATTTTTACACAAGTAGTTTTTATCATAAAATGACTATTTATTATAAACATAATGTTACGTATTTCGATTTAGTTCTTGCTAAAATTGGTTTTATTTAATAGATAATACTCACATGAAAGAGCAGGATGCGGTTTGTAATATATAATATCTAGTTTTCTATATCAATATCGTAATTTCTTATATTTTCGTATTTGTCTTTCGATATTAGGCTCTCATACTTCAAATCCTTAACCTTACACAACAGCAAATTGATATGTTTCCGTTAGAAGAACGTAATAGAATTGTAGCATTGGTAAATTATTTGTCATATTTTATAAGTTAAATCAGCATTATTTTAGTCATTTCTCCTATTTATTTTATAGAGGCAACAAATATTACTCAACACTAGGCGATAAATTAGTTAAAATACAGTGAATAAAGAAATCTAATGATGTATATTTCTTGTTAACTCAGATCGAGGCTTCAAATTAATTTATGCATTTAAATCATAACATATATTGTACGTATTTTCAAAGTGACAAATTAGTACGCGTTGTCTAATATGCAAAAAGCGTTGATCATTTTTCATATAAAAACGAGTAAATTATCTATTGTTTCGCTTTAGAGATGTTAATTGATTCGTCTAGTCTAACTTTTGTTTAATCCCAAAAAATAAAACTTAACTAGTTAAAGTTCACCTCTAGATAACTTAGTCCTGTCTGGTTTACCACCAGGGTTGTGTTACAAAAATTACATTCTTACATTTCATGTACATAATTCGCATTGTAGCTCAGCCATTACATTTACATGAAAAAAGATTACAAAAACGTTTATTCAAATTGGATTACTGGATCGCTAGCAAATTTAAATTTAATTCATAAATCCACATAGCCTCGGAAGGTAATTTTCATAGTAAAGATCCCATATGCTCTAAAGTTGTGTTCAAAGTTACAATTACTGATTTACAAAAACAGTTATTGGGATTCGAATTGAATTTATTAACAATAAACGTGTGATTTAAAAAATTATAATCTACGTCTATTACAATTTTAAAAACTTCTATCCTATTATAACCTTTGCCAAGTTTATTACAATTTAAAATTTTCGATCCTATTATAACCTTCATCTTAGTCTATTACAATTTAAAATATTTTGATTTTGATCTTATTATAACTTTTTTTTTCTAGTTTAGTATTGTTAATTGGAAGTTTTTATTAAAATTTAATTGGTTTAATTCAATTTATTATAATAAATTTTCAGATTTAAATCTATATTTTTTAGTATTTAATATTTATTTTTTATAAATTTTTGCAGAATATTAAAAATATAATTTAAAAAATTTTAATTCAAAGTTGAACTTTTCTTTAGTATATTTTTTAAGTCAAAAAACTGATTCTGTATTTTATATAATGCATATTATTTGTTAAAATCTTTCTTTAAAAAATAAAAAAAATTTAATAAACAGAGTGTTTAAATAGATAACTTACAGGTGAGTTACAGGTATAGCAGTATAATATAGAACCAATTAGGTGGTCTAATGTCTATGTAGCAGACTACTTAAAATAGACAATGACTAAAGTTGTATATAGCTTATTGTATACTCTTTATATAATTACAAACAGTAAGAATTATTAATATATAATCTTATATGCAATACTAATAAATTTTTTTTAGTAATAAAAGTCATCTTTAACAACAAAAAAAAAATAAAAAAATAAAATAAAATAAATTTTTTAAGTAAAGATTTTTTATATTCTTAAATAAAATCATCAAAATTGGAATTGTCTTTAGAAAAATATTTATATTTAAAAATATAATTTTAAAAATTTACAAAGTAAATATTGTACAAATATTATAAACAATTTTTGTATAATACTTTGTAGATCTTTAAAATCATGTTTTTAACTATAAATATTTCATTAAAAATAAGTTTAATTTTGATAATTTTATTATTATTAGAATTAAAAAAAAAAAGTTTTATAATTTTATTTAAAAGTATAAAAAGTTTTTACTTAATAAAACTTTTTTTATTTTTTAAAGAAAGTTTTTAACTAATCATATTATATAAAATATATAATTAGTTTTTTGACTTAAAGAATATAGTAAAAAAGAATTTAATTTTGAATTAAAATCTTTTTAAAGTTATATATTTAATATTAAAAAAAATTTTTTTTTTACTTAAATAATTTTGTTTATTATTTTATTTAAGAAAAATTTTTATAAGCTACAAAATAAATTAATATAATCTATAACAAATTACTCTTTTTAAATTATTTTGAACTTACTTAGCTATTTTATAATATCTAAATATAATCTGCTGCAGTAGTTATTTTTTTCTAAAAGTCTTAATTTGTATATACAAACTCTAAACTCTTAATTAATAAAAGATTATTACTAGCTTGTATTAAGATTATTTATTTTGTTTTAATTTATATTTATTTTTTTTTTATCTAACCTTATCTATTAGTTTTATACTTTTATATAAGCTTTTTTTAATTTTTTATTATTATTATTAAAGTAGCTTATATTGCTAAATAGATTTTATTAATTAATATATATGAGGTTGTCTATTGACAATCCTTTACAGTTTGTAATTATATGAAGAGTGTATAATCTACAATATAAATAACTTTATGTCATTATCTATTTTAAATAGTTTGCTATATAGGTAGATTATCTAGTTAGTTCTACACAAACTACTATATCTGTAACCTATTTGTGAGTTATCTATTTAAATACTTTATTTAATTAACTTATACTAATACTAACTAATATTACTATAATATCTAACTGCTTAAGCTAGCTAGCTTGTTACAGATCTATTTATCTAATTTAGCTTAGTTTATTACAAGTTATATTATACTCAACATATTATAATATCTGCAAAGCTAATTAATCTTAAAATATATCTACTAAAGTAATCTATATCTATTTTATAGATTCATCTAGTTTAGACTCTTGTAATATTCATATAACTCTAGTTCTTACTATAGCTCTTTACTAATATTGTTTGCTAATCTCTTCAGATATTTTATAAGATAGATCCTTTCAAATCTAGTTAGCTACTAAGTTAAGTTAGTATTGCTAATTCTTCTTGTAGAATGAATTTACCTGTATCTAATTCAATCTGTATTTTTTGAATAACAGTTTTCTTCTAAATTAAATATTAGTTAGTATAATTGTTAAAAGCTATACTACTTTACTAACTTAAAGTTTTTATTATAAGATTCTCTGCTTATAGATTTTATCAAGATTTATTTATATAATATTATATCATATTTTTAATATCTAGATGATATTAGTGCAATATGATTTACAAGATTATAACCTTAAAAACAAACAAAGTTTATTATAAGTTAAGTACAAAGTTCTAAGTAATTATTTAAATTTGTCAACAGTAGGATTTAAACTCTAGATTTCTTGTATGATAGTTTAGTAATCTAATCATTATACTAAGATCATTAGATCTTATATATATATTTTATTATTTTTTTATTATTATTAAGGTAGCTTATATTGTTAAAAGAATTTTATTAATATTGCAAACAGAATTATATATTGATAATCTCTACTATTTGTAATATATAAAGAGTATATAACAAGCTATATATAAACTTTAGTTATTATCTATTTTAAATAGTTTATTGTATAGATATTAAACTATCTAATAGTTCTATACTATGTTACTATACTTGTAATCTGTAAGTAAGTTATTAATTTAAATACTTTGTTTATTAACTTATACAGATCTAACTTAATATTATTACAATATCTAACTATTTAAGTCAACTAGCTCATTATAGATCTATTTATTTATAATAGCTTAGATCCTCTTAGAATATATTATATTTAATATATTATTAGTATTGTAAAGCTAGTTAACCTTAAAGCAACTTTACTAGAACAGTTTGTATATATTTTACAAATTTACTTAGTTTAAACCCTTGTAGATATTTATATAACTCTAGATTCTACTATAGTCTTCTACTAGTTAGTTGACTAAATTCTTTTCTAGTATCTAGCTAGTCCTAGTTACCCTTTACTTAGAGATCTCGAAACCTTTTATCTTTATTAGACTAAGTTTTCTTTCTAGATCAAACTTTAATTAATATAGTCCTGTTAGAAAACTGTACTATTTTACTAACTTAAGATTTCTATTATACAGATCCTCTATTTATATATTTTATCAAAATTTATTTATATAATATTATATCATACTTCCAAGTTCTAATCAATTTAGTACAACTTAATTTACTAAAGTACACTTCTAAAAACAAACAAAATTTATTGTAATATATTACAATATCTAAAAAATTATTTAAATTCATTAATAATAGAATTTGAATACTAGATCTATTGTATAGTGGTTCAACAATCTAACTACTATACTAGGTTACTAGACTTTATCTTTTAATTTGTAATACAAGCAAATTTGCTTGCATCCACTTTTAATTTTTATAATTTTTAAAATAAATCTTTAAATATTAATTTTAAATATATACTTTCTAAGTAAAATATATTTTTTAGTATTTATT